GATTTGAACCGCTGAACTGCTGATCTAGCAGTAGCCTGCAGTGCTGCATTTAACCACTGCACCACCTCGGCTCTAATGAAACAGCTGTCTGTATGCAGTATTGCATATTTATGAAAATGGATGTCGAGCTGGCCATGCCCCCCTGATGTGGCCCTCAATGAAATCAGGTTTGACACCCCTGTTTTACAGAGTCAACCTCTCCCCCCCCCAGCTCCCAATGATCTGGGTCCTCCTTAGACCGACCTTGGAAGGATGGAAGGATGAATCAACCTTGAGCTGTGTCCGGATCGAACTGTGGACAGCATGTTGCAATACTGCCTTCTAACGACCATGAGACCTGGAGGCGCAATGGAGGCTGTTGAGCAGGGGGCTGGACTAGAAGACCTCCCACCAGGTCCCTTCCAACTCTGTTATTCTGTATCCTCTCTGTGGGCATGCATGTCATTGGCAGTTAGTCTTTGCGGGTGCCTGGGCACGCATGTCATTGGCAGTTAGTCTTTGCGGGTGCCGGAGCGCTGAAAACAGCCTGAAAACAGTCTGGAAAATGTCAAAAAACGGCCAAAACCAGGCCGTTTGGCGGCCATTTTCTGAGCTATTTTCTGGCCCAAAAATCGCCCTGAAAATGGCACAAAAAACAGGCATGCACACCAGCCAGCTGGCCTTTTGGTTTTTGGTACTCCGGCATGCACCTATACACGCACATTCCAGTTGGGGACTCAGTGCCAAAAAGGTTCGCTATCAGTCCTCTATCTTGTCTGTGGCGAATATCAATGAAAAATATATTTATTTATACAAAAATGCAAATGCAGGACCGAACAGCCCATGCACACACATGCACGCCCGCACACACACCACGCATCCAGCCCCCTCCTCTGCATTGGGGGAGTCCCACATGAAAAGACACAAACAGCAATTGTGATCAGGTTTTGAAAGCACGCATACACTGACTTAACGGTCTGCCTCGAAGTAGGAGTGAGGGACGATGTAGATCTGGGTTGGATGACGTTCTCAATTCAGAGCCTTCAAAGGGGCTAGTGTGTGTGTGTGTGTGTGAGAGAGAGAGAGAGAGAGAGGGAGAGGGAGAGG